TCCCTTCCGAGTAGCCGGAATTACAGGCATGTGCTACCACGCCCGGCTGATTTTTTGATTTATTGTAAAGATGAGGTCTCGCTGCTCAGGCGGGTCTCGAACCCGCGGGCTCAGGCAATCCACTCACCTCAGCCTCCCAAAGGCGCGGGATTACAGGCTGAGCCACCGAGCCCGGTGTATTTATACACATGCACCGAGCCCGGTGCATTTATACACATGAGGATGTGTATTTTCATTTCTTTTGGGTATATTCTCAAGAATGGAATTGCTGGATCATATGGTAACTCTATGTCTAACTTGTTGGGGAACTGCCAAGCACTTATCCAGTGGCTGCACCATTTTACATTCCTACCAGCAGGGCATTAGGGTTCCATTTTCTCCACATCCTCACCACAGCTTGTCATTATCTTTTTTTATTACAACCACCCTCATGGGTGTGAAGTGGTATCTCATTGTGGTTTTTTTAAAAAATTTTTTGAGGAGTTGGAGTCTCACTCTGTCACCTAGGCTGGAGTGTAGTGGCACGCTCACGGTCACCTCAGCCTCGATCTGCTGGGCTCTGGGGATCCTTCCACCTCAGCCTTCCAATTAGCCAGAACTACAGGCATGCGCTTCTACATCCAGCTAATTTTTTATTTTATTTTATTTTATTGTAGAGACGAGGTCTTGCCAAGTTGCCCATGCTGGTCTCGAACCCATGGGCTCAGGCAGTCCATTCACCTTGGCCTCCCAAAGTGCTGGGATTACAGGCTGAGCCACCGAGCCGGCCTCATTGTGATTTTAATATGTATTTCCATTTGATTATTCTCACAGAATCTGTGGATCTGAAATTCAAAAGGAGTACAGTGGAGATGGCTCCATGATGTGAGGGGCCTCAGCTGGAAAGACTGCAAGGCTGGAGATGACTCAACAGCTGGAACTGAAATCATCTGGGAGTGTCTTCACTCACATACTTGCTAGGTTTTCCTCATATATGCCTTGACCTCAGTTGAGCTGTTGCCTGGAATATCTACACATACTTTAGCCATGTGGTTTCACTGCATGGAGTAATTTGGGCTATTTCACAGCATGGCTGTTGGGTTCTAAGGGCAAGTATTCAATGAGAATCAGGTAGAAGCTGTATTGCCTTTTTTGTCATTTATTTCTTTTTACTTACAGTTTGTGTTCAATGCAAATCAATTATCTAACATGAGAAGTTACTATGAATCAAAGCATAAATATACAAATGCAAGAAACAATCCAATATATAATAGATGTAGAGTTAGCTGGATGTGGTGACACACACCCTTAGTCCCAGCTACTAAGGAGATTGAGGTGGGAGGATCACTTAGAGCCCAGGAGTTTAAGGATGCAGTGAGCTATGGTTGGACCAGTGGACTCTAGCCCAGGTGACAGAACAAAACCCTGTCTCTTAAAAAAATGGCTGTATGGCATCCAGGTGTGAAGCCAAAGAGAGTGCTCATTCACACACAGAGTAGCTTCCAGTCTGTTCAATCTGGTTGCTCCCTTTTAGATTTCTTTTTTTTTTTTTTTTTTGAGTTGGAGTCTC